TCTTCAATTAAAAACACTATAAAATTTACAACTATTCACTGCCATAGAGTATCTAGACATCATGATATAGAGAACAAATAAATAGGATCATCACAGAAGGCACGACACAACTGTTTCACCTGCTTACTTATTGCCATTTTTACGCCCTCTCGCAACCTGGGAGAAGATTGAAACTTAAATTAGGAGATGTTGAAGTTTGAATAAGATTAGTTTACATGAATATTAGTAAAAAATTGATGGGTGTAATCATTGCGCTGTTTAACTGCCAGGTTGCATTCCCACTCCCACTGGATCGCACGTGTCCAGATTTTAATAACCCGTCAAAAATTGAGATATCGATAATCGAGATTTAGCTCAAAACCTTCTAAGCTTGCTTCTTTGAGCTACTTCAACCTCAAATAATAATTTAATTACTCGCAAGCCTGTGACTGTTGCCCCGATGCACTTTAATGGTTCAAGAAGTTTTTCCTAATTTCCCTTTTTTCTGACGGGTGATACAGTCATTCTTGCAATTTATTTTATTATTAATTCGTGTCCAAAAGAAAAATTCCAGTTGAATTTCAATTTTCAAAAGGCTGGCAATACTAATTAGTCGCACATCATAAGCGAAAAGTTCTCATTTACGGCCTTTGGGTAGGAGCAACATATTATATTATTATATGTCCAGATTAGATCTCATGTCCCGAAGGCTGTGCTTCTAAAGCCTTGGCAGTGACACAAAGAAAACAAATTATCGAAGCCCCGGAAAACTTGCGCAAAATTTTCTGGCTTGGCTTGATAGAAAAAATCATTTGCGTGATATGTGCAAAATATCTGCAATGATTCATTGGAAATCATTACGGCAAATTTGAATAAGAAATAAGGAATAGAGGGAAACTTGGTTAGTATATACGATATGTCATTATTTTCATTATACGTGATGTGTTAAACACATTTAAAGAAATTACCGCCAATGGTAAGATCAAAACGACTCAAGATTTGACTTCAGCTTGCTCTTCATTGCCAGCAAACGAGCTGCGTCTCCACAGCCTTCGTCACACTATTTGTAGAGCGTAATTTCCTGCGCCGCTGACTTAATGAATCGCCTTCTCGGCCTCACAAAGCCTTTTCTTCGCACATGGAACTGTTTGTTATGGGGTGCAAACTGGATCTATGGTGTTATTATATTGAGACAAATAACTTCTGAGCTTTTATTATTCAACTAAATGTTCGGTTAAAAGTCCTAACAATATCTGTTCTGACGACTTGCTGTCAGAAATATTTTTATTTTATAAAATCAAGAATATTCTTGCGAATTGAGACGAACAAATTCTGGAGCTCAGAAAAAATTTGATTTTCCTGTTCAGTTCTGAGAATGAAATGTATAGTTTTTATGAAGTTACCCGGTCACATTGCACCGGCAACTCCTTCATCTGCAGCCCTTTAAAGAAGGTGCCGGCATTTCGACGCAATCGCTGCGAGTTACGACCTGAGACAACGAGGCGATCAGGTGCACTGCAAACCGTTTCGTCGTTCATCTCACGCATGGGAAATACTGCCCTCCATTTCCTTAAGCTCACCAATTTCCTGCTGAACGGAATTCTTATTCTTATCGCCGCTCGAACAAACCTAATTTGTTTGCGGGGCAGGTTCGCCGGAAAAGTCGATTTTTGCGCTGGAAAGTGAAGAATTGTTTTCGAATATGGCGTCGGCAAGCTCATCTGTAGCCAATGCCGGCAGGATATGTGGTTTTGGATTGTTTATTTTCTTTTCTTAATTTAAGTTGTTCTATCCTTCTTCACTTATATTCTTGCTTATTTGAGCTTTAATTAGACTTTCAAAAGAGACAGACTGTAAAAGTTAATCTAAGATGAATAGAAATTAATTTAATATATTTATTAATTTGTTGATGCATCAAATCCATCATGTTCTGACTTTCGTGCATGGACGAAAATTTTGAGTGTTCGAAGTTATTTCAGTGAGCTGTAGAATAACACTCATGACGAGATAAGAATAACAAGAGGGAAAGTTTAAATTTATTCTGTCTTATAATTTTTTCATAAAATCGTCAGATTGTATAGTAGCTGCGGAAAATATTGATGTTAAAAAAACAGTTCGTTGGTTCCAAATTCAAACTGAAAAATATGTTCCCTATTCACTTCATGTTTATCAATTCTATTCAGACTGCTTGCAGATAAACCAAGCATTTTAATTTCAATCCTGCCTTAATTACAGCAGCTCATTTGGCACAGCATCTGCTGAATTTATTTCCACGGGTCTTCGAAATGCTCATTAAGATTAAAACTAATTTTTCTCTCATAATTCTGATTTATTTCCATTATGTGATGAAAATATAGTCAAGGCTGAATGATTTTGTGTATGTGGTGTAAAATTGGTTTAGTACACTTGTTTCGAAATTGAGATAATTTTATGCATTTTATTTAGAACGGTTATAAATAATCACTATAGATTTGTTTCTCAATCCAATATCAATCATCTGAAACCTCATTCTGATGAATCAATTTCTAACTGACTATAGAAGTACAGCAATGGAAATATGAAATGAGAATATCTCAATAACAAAACGTTCGACCATTTATCAGAATAAATAACAGATGACAGATGTAGTACGTGCACAGTAAATTAGTTTTTAATTTACATTCGAATTTTATCCACTTCAGAAGACCCTATGTTCTATGAGTTTTTTTCTGTATTATTATGCAACTTGTAATGAGTTCATCGATCCTTCTTAAATCGATCTCAAGAAGAAGACTGCACGATAATTTTTACTGCACGACTGAGGCAAATAAATTTATGTGTGGAATTGTTATATCTTTTTTCCAAATTCTGACTTTAGTCTCATTGGCATCAACCCGAGATTCTCACTGAGGTGAGGCAGGTGTTTATAAAAGTTTTTCTACAAAATTGAAAAAGTTCTGAGCTGAAATATCCTGGATGAGCTAATCAGAACTTTTTTGGGATTATACTCCTCAAAAAATCCATTGTTAGCGCAAAATTTTAAATGCACGCATATAAATAAAACTTACAACATGAAACCGAATGTTTTAAAAAGCATCTTGATGAATTCTTAATAATAGGACAGTTCTCATACGGTCAATTAAGTACCGTTGTTGTAACCTTCTATGATTCATCATCAATTGTCACTCAAATCCCAAAAATAGACAAAAATACTCAACCTATATTTCGGAGTAAATAATATCGATAGTTGTACATAAGTTTTAATTCGTCTCTCGCAAGCCAGATATTCTTTTTGTACCTCACTGCGAACAAAGTTGCAATCCAAATCGATTCTTTAAAATCCCTGAAGTTGTTCAAAGGCTTGAGATTGCTCCTGGGAAAGTTTGCAGTCAATTAGAAAACTTCAACTGAAAACAAAAACTCAAGATGGCGAGAAGACAAGCGTATGATAGACGAGCCTCAATGGCCTTGAAGAAGTAAACTTCTTCCCGACACGTGAGACGGCTAATTAGACGGCTAAGGGGAAGAGCCAATTATAGAGTAACTCTCAACGTTATTAAAAAGTTTGTTCAAAGAAATTGATTCAATTGAAAGTTATTTCTCTTGCACTTCATCAAAAGGTAGAGTTCGTTTTCGAACGTTCATTTCAATTATTATTAATAATTGTTTATGCGAATAATTCTTATTATTCGTTTAAACATTCATTCAATAATATTAAAGTGAGTACAGATACTATTTATTAACAAGTTCACTGCTTCATTTATTCACTTGTACGATATTCTTGGTGTAAGTCGCGTTTCGTGTTGTAACAGAGATATTATTTATCCCAATGAAAACTCGTACTGTAACGACGCAAAGGATTGATCTGTAATCGAATTTGGGGTTTCAATTTGTGATGTCAGGAATACTATAAGAGATCACTGCATTTGGTTTGTATTTTCAGATCTTGAAATAGTGGTATTACCATTCATTTATTAATTAGTTAATATAATAAGTCTTGCGATCCGTTCTTATACGTTTTGCATTCGATTTATTTCTACATCGCCAATTAAATAAATAGAACCATGCATACAACACCAGCAAACTGTTTACAATTGTTTGCGATAAAGAATTGTAGCTCACGAATAAAATAGATATTGTTCCTTTATTATCACTAAATTTTTAAGTGTTTCATTACATCCCAACCAAACAAGTTGAAGATGACAGTAAAAGTTTACTGTGAGCTCTCCCGAAACAACAATATACCTGAATCCTAATATAAAACACATTTTTGATCATCACTTCTCACGAAGGAAATAATTACGATTGGATCAACAGCTCGAAGAAGCATACGATCTTTAATATTAATACCATCTTGTGAGAGAATATATTATATATTTATTTGTCAATAAATACGAAGAAAAATTATCAAATTATCAATATTTGAACCATTTTTCGATTAGCAATGATTCAACAAAGAAATCGATATGAAAAAGATTATTATTTTGGTCCCGTGTTGTGAAATAACAAACAAACATTCAATGCATTTTTAATCACAATCGTGCACATTAATATTCTTGTTTACAAATTCCTTCAAGAAAACCACTGTTAACTAAATTTAATTGCAATAAATACTTTAGTTATATGAATCATTCAAAGCAGCTTTCATCAAATTCACGAAACATTAGTCGCTTGAAGCATACAGCTTTTTAATTCTGTATTTCCTTTACACTCTTAATCTTGAATTTCATGATAAAACAGTCCATTTCAGTAAAGCTGTTAAATGGCATTCTATGGACGGTGCGAATTATGTTCAAAAATAAAATTTAAATGAAATAAAATTTATGATAAATTGATTGAATTAATTGCATATTAACTAAATAATTTCACCACAATAGAAATATAATTAGGTTTTCCCGGGGTTCCGCTGGTTCGAAAAGCCCTGCAATTTTTAATGCCGAATCCCATTTTAAAATAAAGATTTACTGTATGTTAATTAAAAACTGCCCTTTAAAATCACATTTTGCATAGTCGTGAAACATGAAAATTCTATTTGACTCCCATTAGAGTAATAAAAAATTGTCGTCATCTCAACTACATTCATTTATTAAGATTTAAAAGCAGGTATGAATTTTTGGTACATCCCTTCACCCAGTTTTGCAATTCTTCACTGTTCTCACACTACTATTAAATTTTAAAGTTAGGTAATTACCAGGTACGAAATGAATTTTGATTACATGCTTAAAGAGCTTAAAGACCAGACTTAAAACACACACAAACAAACAAACTTTCACTAATATTAATAAGGTCAAGCAAACTGTTTAAAAACGTCATCCCAATCATCCTGTTATGACTTCGGATCCTCCTACTTCAGTGCATCCTGACTTCTCAACAAACTTTACATCAAACTCAAAGCCTAAGGTGTTGTTGTTTATCCCAACCCAATAGAAGACGAAAAGTGTTCTAAAATTACTCGTAAAATTTTGTCCCTGTTCAAGTTCTGAGCCGCAATAGACAGTGCCACTCTCGCTCGGTCCATCGAGGCCAATTTCAGTGCCTTGCACAGAACAACGGCCGAGAAGATCCCGGGCTGCCAACTGGAAATATGTGACCGTCAGTTGTGGTCGGAAGCATGCTGGAGCCTCGAACAGTTTCGTGAAAATGTCACCTGGAATCAGTGAGAAGATATCCGTACTGAAGGAGACATTCTGAAGTCAGGAATAGATGCTATTCTTTTTGGAGATAAAAAATAATTTCTCGCTTCCAAACTGCAAGCAACGTGTACATTGTTTTAAATGAAATTAAATTGCATATACAGTAGTTTAATGACAATAGACTACAAATTTCATTAACCTAACGAGTAATGGAAAAGTGCTGTATAACACTGCAAAATTGTAGAAAAAATGTTTCATGTACCAAACAACTATTAAATAACTAATTTGTGCATAAGCCATATAACATTCCATATGCGCAGGAATGTTTTTTGTACCATTTTACCCTTAAAACCTCCCTATGTGACGACTGCTTATTTTGCTTTGTTATCACTTTATGGTAGAAAAATTACGAATTCATGTAATGTATACCTCACTGCAGCAAATTTCGAGCCATACGTAAAAAGCCAACTTGCTATTTATCCTTATTTAAAATCTTGTGGCAGGAATGTCGTAGGATCTTGTATTGTCGCAGGTTGTAGTGCCATAAATAGGAGCTACAAATAATGTTTGGCTTAATAATGATTACATGCAGCGAAAAGAAACTAAGAACTAAAACATACCCATCATCGTTGTAGCAGAAGATATCGCTTCTTCGGTAATGAGTACTTGATTTTTCGGCAAGTACTGATTCATGAGGGCCTCTGCCAATGACATCAAAGAATTAAAGTTGATGAATGATGATGATCGGTAGCATCATTTCTAAATTTAATAATAATGCTTAATGATGATGGTTTTTGGCTAGACTAGCCACTATTTTCTCTTTGAACCTCGTAATTACTCTATTAACGCAACTTTTAACGTTGTAAAACTATAGTTCAAGATGTGATATATATTTCATGTATAGTTATTTTTTTCTCTACTAATAATAAGAACCTAAAGATCGAAATATTAAATATTCGGTACCCTTTATCTCATTGATGAATACAAATATAATTACTGAATCTCAACAGTCAGGCTTATGGTGTTCATTAGTCCATTTAAAAGTTTCATTTATTTTGAATCTACTCCCTCTACATAAAAAATTTATATTGCATTAATACGTACATAAATTCTGGACATAGATGTAATGGTAGCTCAATCCATGTACGAATTTATTTTGGACTAACAAAGTTCGCCTTAAAATACTGAGGTTTAATTCCCAATGGTATGATAACTTACTAGTATATGACTCTATCTCCTTGATCTCACAAAGTTGTCCCGATGTTCCAGCTGGGCAAACGCATGTACAATTCGGTCCCAAATAGCCTAGGTTCTGGCAAGGATCACCAGAGATGTCAGCGCACTTAGACACCCACAAATCTATAAAAAATGTTAGGTTTTTATATGCGATGTTCCTGAATCGAAACATATTAATATCACAACTTCTAGTGCATATTCATAGGGTTAAATCATCAAATAGATAATATAATATGAGCCGACTTTACTTTTAACCAATATGCCTATTTATTATGTAGTTTGGTTCTCAATATTATATAGGTATAAATATATTGATCTTATTACATATTTGGATCAATCATATTATCAAATTTGTACTCCTGATTCTACTGCCATGGTCCACGATTGACTCACTTTTATGTTTTAGGGACTTATTCCCAGTTCATGATTAGCAAAAAAATAATAAATGAATTTCCTTGAAATAACTTTAGTTTTATTTCTAAAAGCCGTACATCGGCTTCTTGCGCGCTGGATTGCGAGGCGTTATGTTCAATATAATAATAGAATAATAATATAAATAAGGCAGTTGTGGCCATTCAAACTTATTCTCTGCGTATAAATTAATGTAAGAAATAAGCCAATTTTCTTGCCATTCGAGGTGAATCTCTGCCTATAAATTTATGTTAGAAATAAGGCAGTTGTGGCCATTTAAAGTTATTCTCTGCGTATAAATTAATGTAAGAAATAAGCCAATTTTCTTGCCATTCGAGGTGAATCTCTGCCTATAAATTTATATTAGAAATAAGACAGTTGTCTGGCCGTTCGAGGTGAATCCTTGTTTTTTGCAGGTATCAAGAGTTCTGACTGATGTGAGTAATTGCATAAAAAGTTGAATTGAAAAAGTATTCGGTGGTCAAACGGGTTTTATTAACTCTTCAAACTGAATGTACATTCTCAAATTCTCAGTAAATGATTGTTGGCAACAGTCATCTGGACTTGATATCAGTGATTCTACTACATTTTCCGGTGATGGATGCCCGCATGGAATGTTTGTTGTAAGCGCTCCATGAAACGCTAACATTCTACAATATTCGTATCAAAGACACTTTCGGCTGTTATGGGAGGATTAGGTGCTGTGCCCATGAAATAAAGCTGTCTCTATTCGCGATAGAATACACTGCAGTGGAGCTATATCTCTCGTTCAATTCTTCATCACTTTTGCGCTAGCAGAGCACCGGATACATTTTTCATTACCCATATTCAAAATCTGTCATTTTTTTTAAATCTATGTATTATGGCTGCAAACGTGAAGATATGATATTAATTACGGTAACTCCATATGCAATTAAGATAAGCAATCCACTTCAACAAGTCTTCCTATATTTTTTTTATCGTACAACATAAAATTCAATAGGTAACTTATAAATTTCAAATGCTTTTAATCATGATTTATCATATAATATATATTATTTATCAAATTAAAAAAAACTTTGACTCTCTCTGAGAGAAAAAACTTATAGGCACTGAAGTGAGAAAACATTACCTTAAAAAACATCGTCATTCCCAGAGACGTTTCATACTCACAAAAGGTCCGTAGTGCATGACTGAGAGCAAATCGTATTCAGTATCGAAATCCTTGGTATTGTATTTGTTGAAATTGTTTTGCGTGCCAGCTTGCACATTTTGGAAGAGTATTTTGACGTGAGCGTCTCGATCTGAACGTCCTTGTGTGTGGTACAGGCCAAGAGCGTGGCCAACTTCGTGGATGACCGTCCAAACCTGCAGCAAAAAAATGGAATATTTTATAAATATTCGTAAAAGCGCGTAAACAATTGATACTCAATGTTGCTTTGAAGACCATGCAATAAAATTAGGCGAGTATATTCCAGTTGAGTTGGAGTTCTGTGTTCGAGCCCCGTATTCAGTCCGAACCTGCAGCGAGAAAATTAACTATTTTCGAAATATTACCACAGGCGTGAAAACCTTTTAATTTTAAATATTGCTCTGATGACTAAAAAATAACATTGGACCAATATTTATCAGATGAGTAAGAGTAATTCGTTCTAGTCTCTTTTCAGAAAATTGACGCCGCAGAGGCACTTCTCATGATTGCTTATCGTCCAGCCTACCAGCTGAAAATTGGTTGAGTCATTGTAAAACTAGAATTAAAAATACTAGAAATTAATTACCAGAACTTTAAATTTATAACAATAAATTTTTATAATGTTTATACTAATAATAATAGAAGTAATAATAACATTAATAATAATAAAAGTAATAATAATAATGACAATATAATAATAACACAAGTAATAAAAATTATGGGATCGAATTAATGTAATTAAAACATTAAAACTAAGCCAACTATTGATATGGTTGAACGTGTTTCATACTTTGTCGCAAGCTTCAGCCAATGTTATGTGTTGGCCAAAAATCCAGGTAATGAAATTCGGCTGGTATCCTACATACGAGGAGCACCCAGAGCCCGCCACAAACGAGAGGCGGTTTCCCAGATACAAAAACTTTGGTGTCTGCTGAAACCTGTGAGATAAATTCAGTTTCTATATTATTAAGTGTTTGATAAAAAAAATTGTTTCTATATTATTAAGCGTAAGAGAAAAATGCGGTTTCTACTTAACAGAGTGTAGGAAGAAAACAGTACGGTGAATATATGGAGCTCATTCTGAAACAGTTTATTTATTAGTAAAAAGGTGAATGTGATTTTTTTATCGGCATATTCTGAGATTAATCTCTTAGTTTTGGAGCACAATATCAAAAACCATCACACACATAAAGTTATAAAGTCCAATGCCTGATTAATGAATTTAAATATTGGTGTCAGTGCAAATAATTTACTTCAGTATTATACACGTCGGGTAAAATATTGTTCTAATTTTCAAAATATTCGACATGATAACATTGCAAACATAGCATCTCTAATCCCAGACGTATGTTAATAAATTATTAATTCATTTAACATTACGAATAAGAAATTACGTAATAAACTTTACAAACTTGTAATATTAGCATGACATGTGTGGACTTGACTGCCAATTGCAACTGCTAATACAAATCCAATTGTCGTCAATGAAATTGTAAAATTCTAATTGACGTTCCCTTGAAATTTCCATAACATTATTGGCCAAATGGAATCTTTATATTTAGTAAGGTTTTTCTTGTTCAATTTACGACTTCCCTTCAATTTTGAAATGAGGGAAGCATGACAAACTACTGCAGGGGGACTGAGACAATTTTGAAACTTAATTTATGCCGAGCGCTCACTTTTTATGAATTTTTCCGTGGGATAATTACCTTAAGCAAGTGTGTAGCTCATATTGATCAAGGGCCGCTCTAATGGTAGAGCTCTGTACTCTCGCTGCAAAGAACCATTAAAAGAAACACTTATGAGAGTGAAACACAATGAAGAAGCTCTCTATGCTAACCAGAATAATGGGATCATTGTCATTAAATCTCGCGGTCGCTTCCACTTTTAAATAAGAAAAGATTTCATGTGATATCATTTTAGAGAGCGAAGAATTTTCAAACATATTACTATAAAATATAACTCAGCACTCAGTGCAGTGAGTGACTGAAAGCGCATTTTCTCGTCGACGAAAACTTGAGGTCACGGACGGACGTGACAGACGGACGAGCACAATAGTGCATTTTTTCCATAAATGAGAAAATGTGCTAAAAAGTATCAATTTTACAATATAATATATTGATCCTACGAAATACAAGACAAAGATATTTTCTAGAACAAATTATATGATTATCACAGAAAGATCGGTAGTTAGAAGAAAATTACAGAATTACCTCTAGAAAATCGGCAGTTAATTAATTAGGAGAAAATTTTCAGAATATTTCATTCAAATTTTTCACTAAATCTTTAAATTCATAGTTCTATGTATGTTTTGACCTTTTCGTCAGAAATATTTTGCTGATAACACTTCATTTCTGTATTCATAAAACTGAAATATCTTTATATTCCAAGAAGTTTAGCCTTCTATTCAGAAAAATAGTAATACCAGATTGGCCTTATTAAAACCATTGCAATTAAGAGATCAAACTAAAATGGAAATTATTTGTAATTCTCCTGACGATGCACTTAGTCCCGTGCACTCATCTTATTAAATCAGCTTTTAATCCTGATATAAATTGTAGCCGTTAATTGTTTGTATTTATCTCGGCGAACTTTCTTCAGTGTAAATTTTTCAGTCGGAATAAATTATGGATGCGGAACATTAATTTTGAGGATTAATCGTAGAATCATGAGTTTATGAAAATGGGTGCGCTAATTGGGATTAAGTTGGCATTTTTAATGAGTTTTTAATATTTTAGTCTTAATTTTAAATAAAATTATTAACAATACACGGCAAAATATTCAAAACTGATGAAATTTTTTTAAGCAATGCACTGTTATGAAGATGAAATGCTACAGCGCTCAAATATTATGAATCTGTTAAAAAAATTATTCATAAGACATCTCCCGGTGGGCAACAATCTTTAAAAAGTAAAAAACATTAATTTCATCACATGAAACACATGTAGGTATAAATTAGGTGATATGAAATTCAAAACAAATTCATAAATTTCGATCACATACATTAAATTAATCAAATGATATTACATGACAGTAATCTATGAGTCCCGTAAGTCAAACGAGTGACGTTTTGGCAAGATAGTCTTTCATTTGAAGCATCCCTGACGGAAACACATCAATGGATTTAATAATCACGAGAGCGCTTCACGCCAGAGCTAGTAAGTACTCACTTCCACCCATCTTATAAATGATGGTCGGAAACCCGTTAATCTTAGGCCAAAGATTCGCGGAAGAGGAGACGCCTTGGCGAATATTGGGATCAAAGGGTTGAGTGAAGTTGCTCTCGAGCTGACTGTCTTCGCCGGGCACTCCTATGTTGAAGTTGGAACTCAACGCTTCCTGCGCTGCCTCATCTTTAACTGTCTGGAGGGAAAATTGAGTGTTAAGACTAAGAAAATTTAAGGAGAGGAAGACTAGGTCTTCTCTCTTAGAGAAGACTTAAATTTGCAATAATATAAATTTAACTGAATATGTTATTTGTGACTTAATTTGCCGATTATTGAATTGCATATATATTGCAAATGTAAGCTGCACCTGTACATCTAACTGCACTGCATACCTACGTTAGAATCTACTTTGTATGTGATTTCACACGCAAATTTTTTCATCCATTTTACATTTCATCCATTTGAGGACAAATTTTTTCCGCCACAATAATTTAACTCATTAACAATTTAGGATTTGTTTTGAAATGCAAAACTGCGCTATTTTTTGTCGTTCGACAGAATAAGGGAACGGCGTTCATACGTTCATTAGTTAAAGTTAATCTCTGAGTGGCGCGGTTAATCAAACACTAATTATTACAACACTTCTCTTTAACTTCAATTCTTGTTGTTTGTTTGTTTGTCTGCTACAAATCTTATAATCGATATTTAAGACACTTCTACCTCTCCCTCAATCGATCTGAAACTTTGCACACTTGCGTAAAGTTGGAGACTCTGCGTGAATCAATTTATAGAATAAATAATTTCGAAAATTTAATTTTGTTATATATTGAAAAAAAAATTAACAGAAATTTTTCATATATGAATATAAAATTAGAAATTCATTGTTCATGCGTAACATCGGAGACACTGGATTCTTAAGAAGTGATGTCTTTAAAAAGTAATTTTTAAACGCATATTATTTTTACAATAAGCACTGTTAATGGCAGCCAAGAATAACTGTAATCGAGATGTTCTTGAACCTCGGACATTTTTGTTTCCATTTTTCGCGTTATGTAAGTTATGAACACAAAGAACTCATTGCTAGATTCATATGACTATTAAATGTTTGTTTATTAATCCGTAATACATAAATACGTGGTTAATTAATCTGTCGTTCGATAAAAATTTTCATTAATTTCTATTGACAATCGTCCAAATTCATTAGGAAATAAAATTTTCATTTATGTCAGTGATGATATACTATTACAAGATATGATTGTTTAAAAAATTATATGAGAAAATTTGTTTTTCCGAATTGAATATTAGGACTGTTATGGTTGTGGTGCACATCTTTTTGCAACCAATTTTACGATATTAGTCGCTGTCACTGAGATAACTGTTACAATATACATAATAATAATATTTATTATTATCAGCTTATCATCAATAATTAATTACATTTTAATTACAATTCCCATGAAAAATTCTTTTTTTGTTTCTCAAAAAAAACTGACCATCGGGTTCGAGTCCACGGCCGCGGTGAGCAGCAGGCCCGGCGTCCACACACACAGCATGACAAGCGCCGTGCCTACAGCCTGCCTCATGCAGCCAGACGTACATGACATGTTCCCTGAACTTTGTTTTAAAATCTGATAAAGAAAATTGAAATAAATAAATTAAAGGTTGAAGCAGCCATAAATAATCCTATAATATATAATATTTTCAAGAAAAAGACATGTTCCTTGAACTTTGTTATAAAATCTGATAAAGAAAATTGAAATAAATATATTAAGGGTTCAATCAGTCATAAATAATCCTATATTATATAAAATTTTCAAGAAAAATACATGTTCCTTGAACTTTGTTATAAAATCTGATAAAGAAAATTGAAATAAATAAATTAAAGGTTCAAATCAGTCATAAATAATCCTATATTATATAAAATTTTCAAGAAAAAGACATGTTCCTTGAACTTTGTTCTATTCTAAAATCTGATAAGGAAAATGGAAATAAATAAAATAAAGGTTAAATCAGCCATATATAATACTATTATATATCATATTTTCAAGAAAAATACATGTTCTCCGAACTTTGTTATAAAACTTAATAAAGAAAATAGAAATAAATAAATTAAAGGTTAAACCAGCCATAAATAATCCTATAATATGCAATATTTTCAATTAAGATACTATTATAGGTTCTTTTATTTCATAGAAAATTTTACAACATGAATGCGCAATAAAAGTTCTTTGACAACCATTTCCTAGAATGGCAATGATTTTGATAGAGAAAAACATAAAAAGTTAAATTAGATTCATGCCATGATATGCATTACAACTTAAACAGTTAATTTCCTGCTAGTGGTAAAAACCTTCATTATATCCAAAAATGAGTCGGAATAAATTAATAATTCAATTTTAGCGACGATTTAATTAGGGCCAATGCTATCGTATTAAGGAAAACTACTGTTGCAAAATGAATTTAATATTTGGTCGTTTTTGTTTCACATACGTCATGAGATTAATAACACATGCGAACGCATGCCTGTAAAAACCCTCCGAGATTAAAACTCGTTTATTAATAAGTTGTTTGAATCGCACTGCTTTGAGTATAATGAGTAAAGCAATAATATCAAAAGCCATTCTTTGATCATTCAACCGCGGACCAAAACAATGTAGTGTGAACAAAATGAATTTTTTTATAAACAAATTTTTTTACACACCATCATCTAATTTCATATTCGTCGGATTCACCAGTATCAATGATTCAATTATTTCGAACAAGCAGGGTTATTCAAATCTACTCAAATACAAGTAATACAGTTTTTACGAAGACTCTGCAACAATCCTGAATTTATAGGCGTTTCCTTTCGTTACTCACGTGAAACTAACAACATACCAAAAATATAACTCAGTACTCACTGCAGTGAGTGACAGCGAGCGCATTTTCTCGTCGACGAAAACTTGAGGTCACGGACAGACGGATTGACAGACAGACGGACAGACAGACGGACGGACGGACATGGCGAGCACAATAGTACATTTTTTTCATAAAAGAGAAAATGCGCTAAAAATAAGCTGACAAACTTAAACGTGTCACTGCGTTGGATTTTGTAAGCTAAAGCTCCACAATACTTGGCAATTTTGACTAGTAGTGAGTGAACAATGTAAATCTTAGCCGATAAATTATGCATGAACTAACTGCAGATTATTTTTACTGAGAAGAGTACAGTATTTTGTTTAGATTATATATCGCACGAAACCAAATTAATTTTCAAATTCTGAACGCTGATTAAGTCTGCAACAAAAGAAATATTACGACTTGGGGAAATTAGAAAATCAGGTGAACTTAGCGACCCTTCGTCTAACGAACGAAGTAAACTGACTGAAATTAAATTGAATTTAAATTGAATTATTTGAAATATGACAAGTGGGAATTTTGTTACACGACAGTCGTATCCAGAAATTCGAATCTTGTACAAGACACATTCGGAGCAATAATTGAAATCTTGAGTTGTTCATATCCACATATTTAAAACACGTACTTGTATAATTGTGGTTAAATGTATGACTATTTAGGCAAATGAAACATTTCCATCGCTTGTTTGGAAATAATATACTTTCGTTTTAGAGTCCAGAAAGATAAGATAAACAATGGATTAATAAGGTTAAGAACAATCATAATAACAAGTTTCCCAACAGTGCAACATAATTTTTCGGCTCTAAGTGGAAATGTTGACATAATGTCGCGCAACACGCGCGCTCTGATAAATTGGCGTGGTAGCTTCATAATTTATATCCTTTTTAAATTATTATTATTGGGCTCTAACTTGAAAGAGGAAGTTTATTAATTTGATGAGCTAGGCTTGCGTTCAGCTTGAACAATTTGTTTCAAACGAAGCCCTTGATAATTAACAATCTAAGTTTATTTATTCATGGTTTCTAATTTTTCAAAAGTAGAATTTCGGTATCTCTGTGCTCTGCTAGCACGTTTTTGCCCATTAGCTTCGTTACTTAGATGCATATTTATAACATGACCTCATGAAATTATTCAGTTCGCAAGGGTAATAAAGATGTATTCGCCCGGTCAGTATCAGGCAGCAACCAAATTATCAAGATATTGAACAGTTTCAAACAGAACAACTAAAAACATCGACCAAAAAAAAGTTCATGAAGCAACCACCAAGTTAAATTCCGAGTTTGGACACAACATATTTAGTAAACACCTACTCGAAATAATTCCAGCGCAGCGCTCGACTGCAATATTGTCGTCCGTTCTCTTAAAGCAAAATTACACGACTGGCAAGTGAGACGGTCGAAAGTCTAGCAGCTGCGCTCCAATGTACGAACACTCGATGACGACCAGTCGACTGTTGCTCAGAACACGCAGACCTGCAGTAGAAATTTGAATGATATTATTTTCTCATGCAGTATACTTAGTTATCAAAAATTAACCTCACATTTTGAAACACCTCGCAAAGTTCGTGGAATTTAGAATCAAAATTCGAATTCCGAGATTGTCATTTAAAGCTACGATAGTGGGTTGTAAGGCTGTATAATTTAACCGAATATTTGCAGCTTAATCCATATAATTCCCAATTTTCGTTTATGTCCAAGCATATTTTGTTCGTGTGACATCGTTTCATATCAATAATATTGTTCGTGACATGGGACTTGAAAATTTCCAAAAATAAGTGCGGAATGTTCTCCCTGAAAATTTGTAGCTGTAACAAAACTAGGGTGCAATAAAATTACTCATTCTTCGAATTCCTTAATATATTCGAAGGAAGGAAAATTTTCAAAGGCACCAAAAATTATGGGATTACACTGATTCAAACTAAATTTAAAAAGCTAAAGCAAATTTTAATGAAAATAATACACTAATCAATACATAAAGCAGCCGCCGACTCCAAATCGTTACTATCGGATTTCTACTATCTTACCCCACGTCGATAGAACAATCGATCTGAGTTACAACCACACATGTGGAATATCGCATCCATCAGACCCAGCACACTCAATATAAGTAAACTCCATATATTACGCACAACTTCTGTTCCGATGTGTACAAAGCAGAAGCAATTACTAAAAATGCGAAAACGTCTTAAGTTCTCTGTTCAGCATAAATTGTTATATTTATTGATTTTTTAAGTATTAGATCAAATAGGATTTAAAACGTTTCGCTTTGTTTTCACTATTTATCATATTTTAAGTGCGTTAGAAGTGGAGTAACACATAATATAAGATTTGTTCTCACTCATTTTTGTTCTCACTCAAGCAAAAAAGGCAAAATTAATTCGCTCGATGGCATATCGTTGTGTTGGTTGTCACACGTGACTTAAATTCGAATATTTTGATCATATAAATTGATGAGCTAAGTTATAGGAATTATTAATTATTTATCAGCCATGAATTTCCATCTCTTTAAGCCCTAATCAAGCTTCGGCGCTCAGTAACGTATTCTCTATATTTTGTTTGCAAGCTGTCTCTCCGACCGTGCCTATGAATAACGGTAAACTAAGTATTCTTTCTCGATACTCACCTCAAGTTTTAAATATGCATCCGTTTTTCTCTCGCAAAAGATTTTAATTCATATTTCCAAAATTTTGTGCCGAGCGGCTTTGACGTAAATTTTTTTGATCAATAAACTGATTCTTCCAGAATTGTTCCACCAAATTAGGTTCAGTATTAGAAGTCGATGAATAAAAATTGAATGAACTATTCTAACAGCCTATGGATAGAAGTTGACAGGGTCGATACATAAACGAACTGCCACTCTTAAACGCACTTCGAATCAGCGTCTAAATTATTATAGGCTATAGATCACAACTCGACTCCACAATTATGTCCTGCACTGTTGATTATTTATAGTTCCAATGTATTGACTTGTATATGTCCACTTACGTGTCCAGGTTTACTTACTCCTTTGAAAGCATCAAAAACTATGTACTAATTTGTGAATCAACTACAAAAATTTTTAACCTTCCGTCGATTCTACCACTAACGAAATTGCTGATATGTAGTTGCTCTGATCAGACGAAAATCAATGTTATCTCTCCACGTATACATAAGTCACAACATAATAATCTACAGGCATATTTTCGAAACAAGACCATAAGTATTATTTTCAACCACCTTGTTGGCCTATGAAGTGACTCAAAATATTATAATTTGCGCACTTTTAGACCTTTTTTATCTTGAAGTGTCCAACAACTTGATCGAATAGAATCACGGTTGGCAGAAGGGAATACGGTAGCCTTTTGACCGAAAGTTTACGTTTCCGCTGGTCACTTCAACAAAGCCAATGCATTCATGACACGCGGAGCTTGCGGATAAACTTCCATAATTGGGTTGCATCTACACAAGTTCCTTTGAGTCACGAAAACTGTTACAGTTGTGTATATATTAAAGAAACATTTCATGCTTTCAGTTCAATCTGGTCATGTGACCAACTAACAGTTGCTGAGGGCAAAGCCAGTAAAATTCAATAGAGAAAAGAGTTCCTAATATCTTTTGTGTAAGTTGTTAGTTCCTAAATTTGTAAAAATTTAATAACGTATTTTTAATTTTACGCATTTACTAGCATATTGAATATTCCGAGTGTGTATATTGCTCTACATTTTTTTATCAAGTAACCCCATTTACTTTAAATTACAATTACCGTATTCACATAAAGCTGTTAAATTCAGATACTTTCCACTTAAAACACGTAAATTTGGACTTATCTTGTTTGGACTTTTTGGAAAGTTTCAAATCTCAATGCACACATTGGGTGACAAATAATTCCGTTCGTTTCGTGTCAATTGTTGGGAAATAATTCAGATGATCTAAATGTCTTCGAAAAACTCATTCGTCCAGGCCAACTGCATTAAACGCTCGTCCAGGTTTCAATCAGTTATTTCCGTTGATTGTCCATTGTAGATTAAAGTCTCCTGTGTAACCCTGCCAGAATTAAGCTAAGAATTTGCATAATTGCCGTTTGATTAATTCTGGCTGAGAGAGCTAAAAGCGTAGAAGGCTTAACATGAATTTTTTTTGGTACGAGACAGCTCAAGTGTGCAATATTTTATTTAAACTATTAAATAGCGACCTTTTCTTTGAGTCCTATAATTGTTAGACATTTTATTCAGAGTTTTATGAATGAACACAAGAATATAGCGCTTAAATCCAATTTCAAATGAATAATATCTTGTCTTCTTTTCAGAGATTCATAAAAATATTTTAGTACCTATACAATTGTGTTCTTATTAATTCTTATGGACATGTGTCTATTTCAGTATGCAAAAAAATAGATTCCTGTCAAACACATAGTAAAAAGTCTTCTAATTCTGCCAAGAAAATATTAAACTATTGACAGAATGTGGATAATTTTATCAGTGCCATGACGAATGATTGAATGTTAAATAATCTAAAGTTTGCTAAATGTCGAGTAATATAAAATGGAGTGCGGATATTTTAGATAAAAATTTATTCTCAAATACCGAGCACTTTTTATTAAGATTCAGCTTCTTTCCCGGTACTAAGCCGAAAATAATGTACTTAAAAATAATATTCTTCGAAAATTAGCATTCAAATTCTTGTCAATGTCATACTTTATGCAAAATCAAACTTCACATTGATAAGTCTAGTGTAAATTTTGTATTCTACGGTCAACAGAATTAATTGCGAATCCACAAACAATTCTTACTCCACGGACTTGCATCCTTCGCACCTGAGCAGGAAATGAAATGATTATTCTGATGATTAGAAAATGAAATGATTATAATAAAATGATTCCAGAGCTGTACTCTGGAAATGATTAATGGCATTCGGAATGCTCTCATCCAATACAAATCAATAAATAATGAACTCGACCAGCGGCGATTGTAAAACCTAACAATAACCAGCAACAATATAACTGCAATCGCATTGTTCATTGCTCACATAGCAACAAAATGCAAGTCTGTCTTAAAAATCATCAATTGGTGAACTTAACAAAAAAATTTATCTGCTGTTATTGATTAGTGGGAACAATTTTATAGCATGAAGTTTTATTAAGATTCGGGATCTGTATCGATGCGAAGAAGAACTTGGACTTTTGAACGAACAGTTCAAACTAATTCTGGAAAAAAGTAGTTAGAAATTCGATACATGATGTTGGCGATTCGACTTCCCCTAAACGACATGATTTTCGCCAATTTTTATTTATTTTTTTGGCTAGATAATTATCGTCTAATATTTTAGGAAATTTTTTGCAGAGAAAAATTAATGAATTTTATTAATTTTTCTTAACGATCATCCACCCAAGGACTGCTAAATTTCACAAAATTTATTTCCCCTAATAATTCAACAAGAAAAGAGAACAGTAACGCCAATTCTAGACTTTAATTTGGAAATCCAAGCTTGACGACCGCATTTATTAAAAATTGCAGTGAGAAAATTTTGCTCCGCAAACCTGGGCGTGAGCACGTCAGATAATGCTTATAAAGTGGAAAATGCTTGTAAATAACTAAATTTGATAATATATTCGAACAACATGAACATTAGTTGAAGTTTAACTTGAACTTGAAGTTTAAAAACATGTTACAATTAAAGTAAATTTTGAAACCGATGAAGGAGCTGGTTTTCGAAACGCTTTAGGTTAACATATGTATAGTAATATTTATTGGGCTTTTGAATTCATCCGACTTTTAATAAATTTATTCGGCTTTTTCTTTGCTTTTCAATTCATGGTGAAGAACATTTCAAAATTGTAGAGTTGATTGAGGAACTTGAAACTAACTATTTTTAATTTATTATCGATTCAACTGCGTGCTTCATTTCGAAAATCTTTGGAAGAATAAAAAATCTAATTTCGAAAATCTTCTTAAAATCAGTCAAGAAGTAAACCACTCATGTTTTATGAGTAAATGAGAAAAGAAAAATGACATTTTCGGGTTATTTATAAAATAATCTTTCGCTTATGTCATTAACATAAATTTTTTTTATATATCTTTCGCATTATTTTAGTTTTTATTGAAAATCGTTCCATCTTTTCATTTGTTTTCGATCACATTTATGAATGCCAACGTTGCAATTTGTTTCTTGATATGAATATGGACTTGATCATTGTCTGTCAACAAGTTTTTAGATTTTAATTTTCTTTTTGTCTCCTCTGCCACGCAGCAGAATGCTTTTGAGTGTGATAAACATCACATTAAAAAACACTTCGATGACAATAGAAGCTTTCAATCTGCTACGGAAAATGAATTTACACGGCGAAATGTCTGGGCATTGCGTTTCTCCAGTTTCTGTTGTCTTTCAATTGGCTGACAAGTTGTTCCCAATTTGTATTGTATTTTTCTAACACATGTCATTTTTGCTTCAGGCCTGAATCTCCACATTTTTATTTCTATATTAATTCAAAATTTTTTTTATTTGATCCATGATGCGTGCAGCCTTTATACTAGGCGATAAAAATTTTTGGACGATACCTTTATTTTTCTGCGTTGCATTTTGATTGGGGGACCTACGATGTATCAAGATGAAATATAAACCTTTTCACGAAAGAAAGGAGCACGTTATTATCATTTTCACATCTATGATAAAAGTTTGTTAGATATAATTACGTCTAAACTTAGGTATAAAATTAGGTACTCAGAACCTATCCCATGCATCCATGTGTCATTGCTGAAGCAGTAAAGTAACGTTATACTTTCATTATTATTGTTCAACTTGTATCAATCTTTTAATTAATATGTAAAATTTTCTCTGAAATTTTTCTTCATTATACCTGATTGGAGAAAATTCAGGCTAATTTTTAGCGCATTTTCTCATTTATGAAATAAATGCACTATTGTGCTCGCCATGTTCGTGTGTCCTACAGTCTGTCCGTCCGTGACTTCATGTTTTCGTCAACGAGAAAATGCGCTCTCTGTCACTCTCGGCAGTGAGTACTGAGTTATATTTTTTCAGCATTGTAATGATAATTTTAATTTCTTTTAATGTGGTTCACATACTTTTAACTCCGTTTAGCGCTTCCTGATATAACTTACGATGAATTTTTTCACGTTTTTTTCGCTTGTGTCCAAATGGCAATAAAATTTCTTACATGTATAAAAGATTTACAGTAAAAACACCACACCTGCTACTTTTAGAAGAAATTACAACGGGGCAAAATAAACTAATCACCCTTGAAATGCGATTTATTCACTTCACACTTTTCGCATTTTTGAAACCTTTTTAGCGCATTTTCTCATTTATAGAAAAATGCACTATTTTGCTCGCCATGTACGTCAGTCTGTCTGTCCGTCTGTCCGTCCGTCTGTCTGTCCGTCCGTCTGTCTGTCCGTCCGTCCGTGACCTCAAGTTTTCGTCGACGAGAAAATGCGCTCTCTGTCACTCACTGCAGTGAGTACTGAGTTATATTTTTTCTCTTCCGCAGACGTAAGCTCATGAGAGACAAGTTTTATTGTGAGCAATAGCATCAGTCGTTCATTTCCGGGATGAGTCATTTGAGCGGAAAGAGCCACTTATTTTTCGGTTCTTGCATTCGAGCGAAAATTTCCGGCTCACAGAAAAACTTTTTGATGGACACGCTGCCCGAAATGTCACTGACAAATGTCAAAAATATGTAAAAAAAATTCAAATGTAAAATAGTCCGTCACAAACTCAGACATAACTAAACTCAGACAATAATATCAACAATCCTAAAATGTATGATTCACTCACATCGCACGCTATCAAAAATCAACAATTATTTGATCTACCATTTATTCATATTGTTAGGGAATAGTTCCAATTCAAATCAAGTTTCATTATAGGATTTTCTTCACAATAATAATTGCTCGGGAGATGAAGTAGTTCACAATGAGATCGATGTTAACAATCATGTAATGCACTATTCATTCACATCGAGCGATATCAACAATCATAATATGATGCACCATTCATTCACATCGATCGATGTCAACAATCATAATATGATGCACCATTCAGTCACATCGATCGATGTCAACAATCACATGATGCACAATTCAGTCACATTCAATGACATCAACATCAAAGTGTAGCAAAGGTGGCGTCTGTATGTGACGTGCAATTCTCAGCAATTAACAGCTTTGCTTAGAACGTGGAATCAAACTAGCTGCCAAAATAGCCTATGAACTCTCCTAGCTCGTTAGCACTCAAGGACGTCGAGAACAATGTGACTTTCAAATAAAGACTTGTTGACTCCCTTGCGAATGTTCATTAATTTATTTATCTTAAAACTTCAAAGAAGTCCGGCAATAAATAATTTACCAATTCCATATAGACGAATATAATTCAGAAGCCAACGCATTATCCAAGATGATTTCCATTCTTCTTTGGTTGTGATCATCTCGTTGCTGTCCTATTATAAGAATAAATAATAAATTCTGCACAATTTTTGTTTTAACATTTACATTTTTTTACTTCTAACCTTCATTTTTTTAATGTAATTAACAGAGTCTCCTCATTAATTTTGGTATTCCAAACGAGGATAAATTTGCTATGAGATATTTAGAAAGATTAGGTTTTAAGAATAAGAAAACAAACCAATTCATAATTTCTCATCCATCTCATTCTGAACTACTTCGCCTCTTGTGTACTTTTTATTGTGAAAATATATTCTTAATGTAAATCATATAGTTTAAATTATATCTGTATTAAGTAAACTATTGCGATTTACGTTACGTGATATGCATTTAAATTATCGTTTTCATGAATTGTTGCTTTGAAAAACTGTTCACTGTGTATCCTTGGAGAATATTTGTATGTAACAGACGAAAAAGCAAATAATTCTCTCCTTTATTCAATTAGATTACCGAAGGCCGATCTCGAATCGATGGCCGATTTAGTTGCCTAATGAACCGACTTTGAGTCAAGCCTCGCATTGATCACTCAATAATTTTTTTATTGTCTGATTCATGAATAGCCCCTGATTGGCGTCCTGCTGAACTATAAGTACGACAAGATGTCTACTAGAAATTTCCGGTTCGAGGCTCCATCGCTGCAGCGATGGAGTCTCGTAATGGAGTCTGTAACAGTGACTAACAATCGAGTCTGTAAAATGATGGAGTCTGTAACAGCGATTAAAATTGACCATGAATTATTGCTGGCTAGAAACTCTAGTTTGTTTCTTGGGTGTTGTGATAGTGTCATACGTTACAATTGATAAACGAAAGTTTGATTGGTTCCCAACATTGAAACCTGAACGAAAAAAAATCCTCCCTTATTCCGCCAAATATTTCTCAGAAACTAAACAAAAATTCAAAAGAGTTCCTATTTAAATCAAGACTCGAAAAAGTACTGAAAACGAGGGTCTGAACATTCTAAAAAACTTCCTGTTTCCAATGAAGCGCATTCATAAGATGCTGAAGATAGAATCTAAATGGTGCCATCATTCTATAAATATAGCCTAAATAAATAAAAGCAAAAATCTTTATTGGGTTATTTGTCACAAAAAAACGTGATATATATGGACACGATGTCACAACCATTTTTAAAGGTTGGACTCGCGATAAATGCATCTTAACCATTAAGTTGATTACAATCTTCAATACACTCTATAATAATTAACGCAGCCTGATTAATTCCTGATTATTTTTCGTCACATCAAAATTCAATTAGATAATAATGTTTAAACATATTTTAATTTAATTAATCCATCAATTTGATAATTTTTTAAATCAATTATCTTCCAGAAATGAAACTTGTTCTGGCTTTCTAATTCTTGACACATAAATCTCTTATGCCAGGAAACTTCGATCCTACAATTTAGATTGATGTCCTGATTTGATGCTCCGACATTTTGACTTAAAAATCTTAAACACTCTGATTTGCAGCTCAGAATTCACGACATTAAAATCTTTGATGTTCTGATCTGATGCCAGGACATTCTGATATTGAAATCTGAGTCTCAGTCTGAGCTTCCCACTCTCACTTTATAGTATGGAGAGATCAACGTGGCCGTTATTTGGGAGATCTTACTCCTTATCGTTTATATATTAGACATCAGCGGTTTCTTTAAGCATCGTGGATACAAATTGCGCGATTGGTAACAGCAATGAAAATCCCGTGAAAATGTTTTCAAAGTCTGAACTGAAAACAATAGGTTCATAAATTTCGTCATCAAATTTCTATAAAGACGATTTAGTTGATTGCCCATAAGATTACTTTTCTAAATATAGTGCAAAATTAAGGTTCATTTTAAATATCCAAAGTATATTAATCAAAACAGACCAAATATGCAACGATTATGATTAAATTAATGATTATTCCCCACTGACTAGCAAACTAAGTTTAGATCAAACTCTAGTAATTCACACTTGATCGCAAATTGTACAAGCCGAATAAAATAAAATTACTTTTTCCAAATGTTGGCTAATTTTTATGATTTTTAGGAAATCGTCAGATATAACCGTGGCTACCGTATAGAAACAAGCGTAAATTATTAATAAATAAACGTTAGGGATTTTTTATTTCCCAACCCTTTCATTAACATTTCATAGGAACACAAAACTTTTATCGTGTGGTGCACTCGTTTGGAACGTCAATATACGCACATTTTATGCCAACACCGAAGTTTTTGGCCAGAAGCTGCCAGACAAATACACAACGACTGCAAATAACTACAACATGACGAACCATATAATTATTTTTGTTTTTAAAAACTAATAAAATATCTTAAATGATTTAAATCTCTAGGATTTGAATGTTTACAAAAAATTGCATATATATCTTTAGGGTAATACATCCACGATGCTAATTAGCTTTATGCAAACACTTTTACGAGAAACTTATCTTAAAAAAATCAACATTTACTGGCATTTATATATTGCGAGCTACAACTTCAATCGTTCTTTTGCTGGGGCTGACGTTCATCTGAACGCAATGAATATCCCATAGGATACATATTGGTCAACGCTCATACACAAGCATTCACATCATTCATGAATTTTTTTTAATGTTGCAATGAGTAAATATGTGAAAAATGAACCTTTTTCTATCCTTCAAATATCATAGAAAAATGTTAAGAAATCCTATACTTGTATTTAAATAATGCACAGAACAAATATTCCTACACGTTTATCGAACTGAAATTTCATTTTATGTGTGTTTCTTACTTTTTACATTTTTTTACTACTCTACAGTGCGCAATTTTGAATTTTCTCAAAGTCGATCGGAATGAAATTTCTTTTTGCGTACGCTTCTTATTCTAAAAAAAATTTTGTTACCCTACAATACGCAATTTTGAATTTTCTCAAAGTCGACTTTAAAGTCAAAGCCCTTGTTCGAGAAACCTTCTTTATACTGCTTGGCGTAGAAGACCACGAGCGAATTACCCGAGGTCTTGAGCACCTGGCCTGCTTTTAATTCGTTGGCACAGTACCACTTGCCGCTGGAGACTGGGTCACCGAGGCTTATCTCGACGCCTTCTACAGCGCAGCGGTTCAAGGAATTTCGAAACTCGAGCTGGAAGTCGACAACCGTGAGCACGACGCGCTCACAGGGTCCCGCCGTGAACCTCTTCGTGAAGATCTCGCCTGGTATAAATATTCAGATCGCGTTTGTTAACAGCATAATAAAAGGTTGGACTAGTGAATATATATACTATTTTGATATAGCATGAAGAAGCAGATATTGTTGTGATTATTCTTATTCTCACCACACACCGTGGAAGAAAAAGGATAAAATATTGTCGTGAAAATCTGATGTAATCCTAATAAAATTGAGGAGCCTTGCAGAACAGGGGGAAAATATGAATGAAAATTTAAGGTGTGATTTTTAAATTAGTATTTATAAATGTAATTTGTTTACATTTTTAAAATATATCTATTTCTAAATATTTTTTCGTAGTACATACATATTTATACATTTTCTGAAAAAGTACCTCTGAAAACCTCCACTTTGATATATCATGAATATAACATCCAAAATTAATACCCTTGGACTTCTAACTCAAATTATTACAAAATATTTTTCCACGACTGCTGGGCGCTCGCACACGCATATTAAATGTTGTCGTCTGTGCAATTCACTTACAATTTACATAATTCATGACATGCAAAGTAGCAGAACCGACAACGCTAAGCAGGCATATGCATACATTTTATTCGGTACTATAAGCATAATATGCCCCCTCACTCCCCTAAAAATTTTTGAATTATTTTTAATATTACACATAATCTATGCAAAAATACGACAAAAACAAATAAATAAAATACACCCGGGGGTAATGAAGTCACGAATGACGGGGAAAAAAGTATTAATCAACTGACAGATATAATAAAATTTGAATAAACCGAACGGCAGAGCATGCGCAGAAGATGACCAACTTTTTTTCAGAAAATTCTATTGGCTGGAGAGTGCGCGATCATCGCTAAGTTGACAATTGAAGAAACGCGTTTAAATTTATCGCTTTAAATAACGTTTAATCGCAGTAGCAATGTCTTTACATGACGAATAGAAAAAAGTACTATTATTTAAAATAAATTTGTATCGCTTCATGCCCTTAGTAGTGTAAGTATCAACAGTCGCTGAATTTTAATAATTTTTAGTCCGTCATTCAATTGCGTGTGACACAAGCAATATGTTTTATCTCTCATTACTAAACTGGATTGAGTAGTAGCTGAGCGATAAGGCCTAATTTTCTTTTATATTAATAAATATTTTTCAACGTCATCAAAATATTTATCATCAGACTTATCTGTGTGATGTAATTTAATCCAATTAAAATAGCTTTGTTCTTGTTTCATGACTTGTTTCGCTCATCTTAATTATCAGATAGTAGAAATTATTTAATATTTTTGGCTTCTTATTCCCATTGTTGATTATTTTCTTTAGTGAGTAGGAAGTAAGTTTATAAAGGAATGAGCATTGAGCAACTGGTATTTCATTCACATTGATAAAATAAATATAAGTTAAGGCTCAACCTTGGGTACAATACAAACCCAAGTGTTACTATTAGGCGCAGGTAATATAAGCGCAAGGAATACAAACCTAAATGTTATTGAACGCAGACAATGTTTGGTTTTGAATTGAAATTGTTTGTTGTGAATTTGAAATTGTGAATTGAAATCGTACACGATTTCAATTCACAAACAACTATTCACGTTTAAATGTAACCAACTCCTCCTCCAAATTCCGATATAGAAGCACATATCGCATAAAAAAACATAATACAAACTTGCAAATTGAAACTAAACTATTATAATACAATAAACAATTCATAACTTAATAATTACTGAGTCAGTAAGCCATATGATAATGATCTATTGTTCATTTTGAAATTATTTTAGCCACTGAAAACAGAATATTATTATTAGATATATCGGCGTCACTTACTTCTGTTACGGGGACGCGGGTAGCCTGGCGACGAGAGGCGGGTAGCAGCCGTCAGGTCTTCGTTGTCAGGAAGCAACTCTGATATTAAAGCATCTGTAGGAAAACGATATTTGATATAAGTTTTAAGTTACAAGTTTTAAAAAAGGCAAGTTAGTATATTAGTTCAGGGAGTCTCTGTCAGCTGGCACTGTAAGAGCCAGAGTCCTGCGGAAGAAAATATGGGTCCATATTTTCTTGGATTATATATACGTTAATTTCTGCTTATAGATATTTGTGTTGGTTCTTATATAAATAGAAAACAATAGATAGCATATGCATGCATATAAATATAGCATATAATATAAATTAATATATAGCATATGCATACTTATTTTTTATACTCTTCAATTCGCATTTTCTTATTTATGGAAAAAATGCCCTATTGTGCTCGTCATGTCTGTCCGTCCGCCCGTCCGTCTGTCCGTGACTTCACGTTTTCGTTGATTTTTAGAAAATGCGCTCTCTGTCACTCACTGCAGTGAGTATTGAGTTGTATTTTTTTGCGCATAGGTTGAACTGAGGAGCGTCGGTACCTACTAGTATTTATGGAAAAAATGCCCTATTGTGCTCGTCATGTCCGTCCGTCCTTCCGTACTGAGAAAATGCGCTCTCTGTCACTCACTGCAGTGAGTACTGAGTTGTATTTTTTTTGCGCATGGGTTGAGCTGAGGAGCGTCGGTACCTACCAGTGCATCCATACATCGCATTGAAGAGCAACTTGTCCATGAAGGAGAGGCCTGACCGAGGCAGGACCATCAAGCCTTTGGCCATTGGGTTGGTAGGAGCTAGTGTGCTCTCCCCGTTCTTTGAAAACGTCTGAAAATGGACCTTAATATTGTACCCCAAAAATAATGGAAAGCATTTAATTAATTTCTTCATAGAAAAATTTAGTCCTTCAGCAAAGAGTCAGTGCTTGCATTTTTTATTTTGGTTTTTTGGTATTGGATGACTTGAAGCGAGATCAGCGACTTGAACAAGCGAGATCATTAATTACTGTGAGGTGAAAAGAGTATTGTCACTCAGTTCTTTAACCTGACCATACCAATAAATCAATCTCAACACGAATAGCTGAACACATATAAAATTGTGGTTCGAGAAATCTATTCTTAAGCCACTCTTACTCAAAATTTTTAACATCAATTAAACGCTTTAATCTTCAATTATTCCTCCGCACGTAATCATTCCCAGGACTGGGTTTGGGCGCTGACTAGGATTGCTTGAGTAATGCATAATTGGTAACGAAATTGGAATGAAGAGAGTACACTCAGAGGAATGAGAGAGGCTTTGTCCAATTATCGATGCAGTTTTTCCCTGAGTCTAGGTCACTGTGACCCAGTTTGGCCCACCAAAAGCTTAGGTCAGTGATGCGGCAGCGATTTCCTCGTGCTGTGGTATATATGTGTGTTGCTATTATGATAGTACGACCCATTAATTTTCTTGAGTGTTTTAAGACATGGAGACGATCTGAACGTTTCTGCGGGCTGTAATTCACTCTAAGAAGGCCTCAAGAACCCTTAATTGAACTGAATTGATACCCTAAATTGACCTGTATTGCGAGTTTGAGAGCCCGGAAATTCAGATCATTTTAGTTGCAAATTGTGCGTAATTGTTCACACGAAATTTTTTTTTTTGTATTTGCTAGTTAATGAATCATTCATTCATCCTATTTAAACATTCTCATGACATGATTTCTTCGAGAGTAAAATCTGCCTCGAATTACCAGTGTAGGCTGAATTTAACCTCACAAATTTTTTCGCTTAAAAATCTCATCCATCTAATTCAAGTGTGGCTATTAAGCAATGTAATTGCTGATTATCAACTATTAAAATTCACCTTCCGGTTAATATTTGAAATTTTTTAAACCCACCATCGGTCCATAGTGCATAACGGAGTAATAATCATATTCGGTGTTGAAATTCCTAGTTTCGTAGACCTGGAAGTTACTGAGTTCTTCTGTTAGCCCATTATCGTACAGCGCTCGGATGGCGGCATCACGACCAGTGCGCGAGTGTTCGTGATGAACGCCCAGCGAGTGGCCAATTTCATGCACCACAGTGCTGAACTGCCAACCAAAAATTGGTTACATCAATTATAAATCACCGGAATTCCACAAAACATTTTATTTATTTCAATCACCTCGAGTGATGAACACCGAGCGAGTGGCCAATCTCATGTACCACAGTGCTGAACTGCCAACCAAAAATTGGTTACAGCAATTTTAAATCACTGGAATTCCACAAATCATCTTAATTATTTCAATCGCCTCGAGTGATGAACACCGAGCGAGTGGCCAATCTCATGCACCACAGTGCTGAACTGCTAACCAAAAATTGGTGGTATCAATTATTGAACCATGTGAAATTTTTCCGGACTTTCAAATCATTACAATTACCTCACAATTGTTGTAAAAGATCCCAAATGAATTCCCGGTTATAAACGATGATTTTGTTTGTGATTATGTGGTTTGATATTGCTAGCAGGACGAAATCTTATTTTTACCGTTTATTCGAGAAATTCTTCCGTATTCAGGAAGTTGTCCAACTGCAAAATACGGAGACAATGAATAAGTAAAATAAGCAATGAGCTAAAATTTCAAATTAGGAATAGCGTTTTATACTTCGTAACAGGTGCTGCCTAAAGTCACTTGCTGGCCGAAGAGCCAGTAAAGGAAGAATGTCTGCCGTCCGATGGGAGAAGAGCAGCCGTTGCCATTCCCGAAGAAGATCTTGTAGCCAAAATAGAGCCATGGAGCTCTTTGAAATCTATGACATATTCCGAAGTATAAATCATATCATTAATAATGTATTACGAATGGTAACATTTGTATAGGAAGTGAAGTTTTCTTAAATAGACTGGTATTAATTTTATTTTCCAGGCGAAATTTTAATTTCAACTGAAAAAAATCATCAACAAATAGACATATTTGCTTTTGTGGGTAGTGTACAGTAAAATCTTTGATCTCTATAAGTGATGCAATTTATTTGTAAAGTAGGTTAGTTATTTGTAGAACGAAATTCAGAATTAAATGCAATTTTATACATTTTATTCATTTGTCGACTGAATTGACTGAACACCAGATGCTATCGTTTCATTTTATCCCCTATTAATCTGAGAAAATTTAATTTAAGAGCCTCATACTGCTCATTTTTCCACTGAAGCGAATCAAATTATATCAGTGCACGCTCATATGAATTGGGCTCATTACATACTTCTTCTATTAATGATATAGAATAAATTTAATTTCATCATGTTCCCATTTTTTCAAACACGGCTAAATAGAACAAAGGTTTCAATTTTCATCGCTGATTCTCTTATTAAAGAATATTTTCGCTAACATTATCCCGGCCGTTACCTAATGCACGTGTGTTCCTCGTAATGAGCGATGGCAGTCAGAATGGTGTCAGATGATACTGGAGCTGAGCCCGTCCGATGAAATGGAAAATATTTTTAATGAAATCTGATTTTATGCGTTCGAAAAAATTTCATCATCGCTATTATGAAAATGAACCATAATGAGGGGTAAAATTAATTAAAGGATTTTGAAGCTGCCCAACAAATTGACCTGAGAGTGAATGAGAATGAAAATTGACCTGAGAGTGAAAGCCCTTCTAGTGTTGATTTCCTTGAATTTTTAATTACAAAAGAATTAATTGAAAAGCCGTGTAAAAATGGAACAACATTCGTTTTTTATGGGAACATTCAATTGCAAGGTGGTATAATACAATTAATATTACTGCTGTTTACGACATCAAACTTTAAATTATAAGTGTTAACGAATACATCAACCTGTTCATGTAAATCTTATTTTTCAACACGTTATTCCATATATTATATAGACAATTAAAATAAATAAAAAATGTAACTCAGTACTCACTGCAGTGAGTAGCAGAGAGCGCATTTTCTCGTCGACGAAAACTTGAGGTCACGGACGGGCGGACAGACGGACGGACAGACAGACAGACGGACATGGCGAGCACAATAGTGCATTTTTTCCATAAATGAGAAAATGCGCTAGAAACTACTCACAGTCCTGAAATGAATAAAAGACCGTCGGCACACCGTCTGAATTCTTCGGCCACAAGAGGCTATCATCGGGGACGCCTTTGCGCTGGGACCATTTAATTCTGTCTGTGCTCTGGACGATGTCGTCGGCCGCTCCGCAAGTCTCAGTTTCAAAGTTTAGGTTAATATTCGAAATTTTGTCGTACAATTTACTACTATCCAGCTCCATACGAGATTTATTAATAATAGCTTTTGATTGATCAAGAGAATTTTCAATCTTCATTCTGATTTCACTCTCCCACGGACCATCGAAATTGAGGTTAGTTTCGTTTGAGCCGCCAGGCAAGAACAGGAGGGGCACGGAATTTCGTTGAGGAGGATGTCGTGGTAGATGATTTACCGTAGCATTGATGTCATTTGGTCTTATGTGACTTGTTGAATGAGTTTCCAAGTGAGATTTAACCGTCGTCTGAAAATCAAAATCTAATTGGAATCTTACTCAAATTCTCATACGATGCATTTTACACAATGCACCCAAAACTGCAAAACTTTCACTACTGCTTCTATTAACTCTATCAATATGTTCATTATAATCGTTATTATTCACATCTTATTAATTATATTTCCCAATTGGGATTTTTCAATAACCAAAAATATTTCAGGGATGTATAACACATAAAATTGTGTTCCCCTCACTTTTGGTCTATTGTATTACAATTTAAATTCATCAGATAATTATTAGAAGAGAAACAACACAAGACAACTCACCGGTTCAGTGGTGTTTGCCATGACACAAATAATCAGGAAAAGTCCCTCGATTCCAACCATTATGTTTAAGAGCTGTCAGATTTTTTCACTTCAGTCGACCCTTTTGTTATGTTATTTATCTGAATTGCCAGTAATTCTATATGCAAATAAATGAATTATATTATCAATATGAATAATTCTCAAATCATTAGGCAAAATTGTTCGAAGTAACTTGATGCAAATGAATCCTTGGCACTTCATGTATAGGTAGCTCTTGTTACTGGAGCAATTGTTTGACTTAACTATAGCCGCTTCTAAAATATCTATCATCCACGTAAATGACAAAATATCCGATAATTTTAATGATCAAATATAAAACAAGAAACAAAGGCTTGAATCACAATATAAAGCTTTCAGCTTTCATGAAGACCTCGGGGATTGAGAATCAAAATTAAATTTAATCAAAATTTTTAATACATTTCTTCCTTGTTACTGACGGAATTCGCTAAATGTAATTCCTGGCAATATAACATTGAGGGAGCGGCATCTTCTTTTTGTTCCATTATTAAATTGATCAATGTACACAAAATTAATAAACCTCCCGTAAAAATTGGTTATAATTATAGGATTTTATGGGTTTACTAGTTGAACAAGTATTTGGATTTAATAAATAGAGTCTTTTAATTCGGGAAAAGTGTTATCACCGCCAGGCATAAATATGCAGGTAAATTTTGTATTGCAATATCAGAAATTTACAAGGAACGAGATATCTTTTCCCGTCCGCTGAATGAGTAACACTGATGGATTGCTGGACCAGGAAGCAGATTTAGCTTCACTCATCAAATCGAGAAATGGTGTCAAGGGCACGACAGATGCAAGTGTGCTCAGTTTCAATTTATTTATCTTCAAATCAAAGGTTACCTCAGCTCTAAAATATAATTAATGATTCAATTAGTCAAGTATTATTGGAAAATTACAAAAATCGGTCATTCACGTTAGAATTATTTATCATTAATTTAAACCAAATAACGACTTTGATTTTCTAATCTTCTAACACAACGAGCTCCAGATAATTTGAAGTGAATAAATTCATCCATGAAAGTGGACCTCGCGTATTTTCTAGTATTTATGTGTAAGGAATAATTTCTAAATCTCATATTCATATTATTCAATCTGAACTATTCAATGAGCTCATTGTAAGAACACACCACAATTCTTATTACTAAATTAACTACGTGCAAATGAAAAATTATAACATTCTTTAGAATTTTTCGTTATTTATAAACATTACGCAGGTGAATGATCATTCACTTCGGATAGAATTAACGTGGAAAATTGGTACTGGTATCTGCTAGATTTTTAACAAACTGTATTTTCATATTTTATCAAGCTACCATTCATATGTTATTTCTAATTATTTTCATAATATAATTAATATCACACTATAAATTAAAAAGGGATTACGGCAACGAATTTTTGTCATGCACATTTTACGACTATGTCATTTAACACGCTAAATTCAATTTTTCAAATGACACTCATATGCATGAGGAGGTAAATTTCTCAGCGAAATGACGCCATAAGAACATTAATTTTTCACTTAACTTGAATCTCAGCTTGAAAATTATTTCAAGTTTTGCAGTCATTATGTTATAATTTAAATTCTTTGAATAAAAAATTAGCAATCTGACCCAAATTGGAGTCTCGTCAACAAGTGTGATAATTTATTTATGAGCGCTCATGTTACTTTGTGGAAGCAATTTTAGGAGTTAGAAATCGAATAAGTAGCAAGTTTATAAATTTTTTTAATTATTTTTTTTCGGATCTCGGATCTGATAATTAGGCGCGTTGGCTACATCAAGTCGGGAATGTAGCACTGCTAAGCCCATTGTAACTTTAAATGCTTTTCATTACAAGGCTCAAAAGCACACTTCTGGAAACATTGATCGCATTTTCATTAAGTAATCGTCTATAGTATTGACGAAAACTTGAGTGGTAATATGCATTAAACCACTCAGTACCACCTTTATATTGAGAGCGAAACGCGTATCATATTTAAAAAAAATCGTGATATTTGTTTTAAGATTTAATTTAAATTTCACATTGTAATTTTCAATGTTTTTATTATATATTCATTCTCTCTATGTTATGAAAACCTTATATTTCTAGTATCTGAAACTTGCATGGATTCGTTATTAATATCGTAGTAATATTTGAATATGAATGAATTGGTAATTTTTTAGAATATTTTATTCTGTTTCTTGGTTTCATTTCTGTTTAAACGTGAAAAATTAAAATAATTTGCGGCGTTACCGCATGAGATGATAACTATTAATGATATTCATGTAAGTACCGATTGCAAAAATTAAATCCATGTCTTTATTATACAATTTTTTGGCGATGTTTAGAGAGATGAAAATTAATCTTTCTCTCAATCGGTCGTACTTGAATTATTATATTAATTTAATCCAAGATTTCCGAACTTAATACCTGATCCTTCGTTTTCCTTCCAACTTTTAAGATCAGTCAATTTATATTCTTTTGCCTAATTGAATTTCATCCGTCCAAATAAGAGTAATCAGAGAGCTGATACGTACGTAGCTCACGATCATAAAATGTAGTGTCTGTACACTAATAAATTTCTATCTAACTTAGAACGAAGAAACTTAAATTTCCGCAATATTTCTAGCGGAACTATTTTCTAATGCAAAACAATAGTTCTTCATCACTTTTGATTGATTCATTATTAGAAGCAGAATTAATTTTTGTCTCAACAGAAGCAAATCAACATTAATAATGAATACATGATTTTGCAGCGTTAAAAAACCATAAGTTTCATCGCTTCACTAAAAGCATATACATTTTAACATAAACTTCTGTTAATAATGCCAACTTCGTGCACCATTCAGCTCTTCTGCATCAGTTTTTTAACTACTAATTTAATTTTTGAATGCTGAAGGTTTGAAGGTTTATTCCGCTCCCGTTAAGGGAATTTGCCTGCCCACTGTGAAAAACTCGGAACGCCAGTGAATAATTAAATTATAAATTTCAGGGTCGTGAAAAAATACCAAATGAAAATGTTGTAGTTTACATGGTTTAATCTACAATTTATACGTATACTACTGATTCATTAACTGGTACAGGAATATTTTACTAATATGTAATAGTGTTACCTACTTTGTATGTTGACCAATTATTTTATTTGAACTTATTTATACTGCAGAATTTTGGCGGTATTTCAAATTTGAAATGGTTGAACTTCAGATCATGTCTTTTTATTCACGTAGGGAAGAACTATCTTAAATTTTAAATTGGATTTTGAATTTATGTGCCCGTACATTTAAATTTACGCGGTATGACCTTCCACGAGAATATTTTTGAAGTCTTCGGACTTTACATCGCATTTTTTCGGATAAATCCACAAAAATGCTATCGCATTTACACAACGATTTCTTTAGATAAAACACTTTAATGTCAATATAAATAGGTTTAGTTACTTCGATGTTAATAGAGTTCACTATTTGCGCCATCGTAAGTAAAATACCAGCAACCGATATCGTATTTCGACCGCTAGTCGACAGCAGTGGTTGGCTTTTTCAATCACTTCCTTTATACCTCGAAAAAACCTGCCGACTCAGCTATAACGTTGGGCCGTTCGTTACAGCAGGTCAGGGTCTACATATATTCATTCATCCACGAACCTAAGGATGAAGTCTAAACTTTTTCGTAGCTAGACTTTGATCGAGACGATGGCCAATGGGCATATAGGAAATTAGAGTTTGGGGTTTTTACTCATTAATCGTAGCAAGAACATCAAAATCAATCAAACATAGTTCGAGTTAGATTTAACATTTGAATGTGAAACTTAGAAGTTTTACTCCGAATAAAAACAACGTTTTAGTAAATGCAATTCATTAGTATACTCTATTTTAGCGATTTCACAGTTTTGCGTAATTTCTGATTAAAAAAACCAGTATTGAAATTTTGTTTGAACTCCTAAAAACATCAAAAATGAAGGTTTCTAACTTAATGAATTTAAATCACGTTTGCATAATCTATTAACTTCAACTCGATTAATTTATTGAGCTTCAGTTGATTTTCTTTCGCGCTCGATTTTTAATAATTGAACTGTTATAATACAGTAAAGTTGTAAGGGTACTATCGAATGGCAACCGTGCGTCAAACATTCATAGCACTTGTCAGAATACGCGGATAGCAAACTTCAGCGAAGATAAAGTTGGAATTTCCACGTAAAGTTACGGACTTCCCGCATAAGTCGTTTCAGGGTCTCAACACTAGCGAGAAGTTAGCCGTTTATTTGACCGTGTCGAAGCCGTTTGCTGCGGCCTATTTTAAATGGTCAAAAGTAGCACAACGAGAAAAAACTAACAAATTTCAGTCAGCGCTCCAGCTGTTCAGCAGTCAAGTGTCCCATCTGATACCCTAAACAAATCGTGCACATTCTCGACCTGAAAAAGGAAAAACATACGAGTTCTGGCTTTTGAAAAGATCGCCTCGAGGCGTTAGGCAAACAAATGCTGCTCGCTTATTGACGGGTTCTCTAACCTTACAAGAATAACATTTTCAATATGTAAACTGTATATAAACTAAAATATTATTTATATGCGTACAATTTAATGAGCAGAGAATGCATTATAATTTTCAAGGAGACGAACAATTCTTCTGATGACGTTGGTAGTTCAAAAGGCAGATTTAGAAAATAATAATAATATATTAACGACGTTTCGAATGTAGCAACATTGATTTTCAAGTTAAGAGAAGCATTGAGTAGTGAAATTTTGTTGGACATAAGTACATAATACACGTAAATAGGATACAGCACAAAAATTTCGAGCCAAAAAGTCCCTCCGCAAACAACCTTAAATTTTTTAGACAAATCCGGTAGTTTGGAAATAGATAGCTGGGGTCCGATTCAAAATCAAGAGGGTTCCAGCAATCGTTGGTCGGTTAATGTTGTGCACCTCCGCATGATGATGATGCTGGTGGGTTCCTCCAGCACAGTGCAAGCGACGGTCTTGTGAGTTTGTCTCAGGGGGTTTCTCTGCCTTCCAAGTTGCAGATGGCAGGTGGCAGTCTCAATGTCGTTGTTGTCAGTCAAATTACTCCAATGTAGTCCAAATGATGAA